CCCTAAGCGCCGCCCGCACCGCCGGCCGCGGCCTCTGCTCCCGCCCTGGGCCGGTGGGCTCGGTTCCCGCCGCGTGGGGCGCACGGCCGACCAGGACTCCCCTCGAGGGCGCGCAGGCTGCCGGGCGAAGGAGTCGGAGGTGGAGAAGGAGGAGGGGACGAAGGGGGCTGGGCAGGGGCCGGGGCCGCGCCAGCGGGAGCGACATGCGATTGGTGACCGAGCCGCACGGACGGACGGCGCGTCCGAGATGCAGGTGAGCCCCGCGCGCAGGCCTTGGGCACTGTGGCCGGACTGCACCCTCCTGGGTATGCTGGGCGCTCCGTGCCACCCGGACCGCTCTGGGGTCACAGGCCTGGTCCCCTCGCAGGCCTCAGAAAGGATTCTTGTTTTGCCACCGCCCTAATAGATTCCCAGTTGGCAGGACTGGGGACCCCCCGCCCCCGGTGGCCAGTGCCTTCCCATTGTGAGCATGGTCACCCTAGAGGACAAGCCCCCACCGTCAGTCCCAGAGAGTTCCCACCGAGGTGGACCCGGGATCCCGCCCCCAAGGCAGCCCTCAGCACTTGGCACTCCCAAGCCAGTGCTCTGAGAATAGTCGGCTTTCTCCACAGCTCCAGTCTGAATGGATGGCAGCGCCACCCCAGGCTCCTGCGGGTGACCGGGGAACGGGTGGGGAAGAGGAGGGAGTCCGTAGAAAGGACCTCAGAGCCATTTAGGGGCCTCCCCTTTGTCTGCCTGCAGCCCGGCGGCGTCTCACCTTCTCTTGCCCCACTTTGCCTTGAGGCGGGTGGAAGGAGGGGACCCGTGGAGAGGAGGGAGGAAAGAGTCTGCTGCTCCCCTCCCGGTGGGCTCTGGGCATCCTGCCTCCAAGGTGCCCCTAGGAGCTCAGTCTCCTGTGGATCCCACCTTGGGTAGGGGGTGGGGCCAGGCCAGTGAACAGTCCCCTCTGTGCTGTCTCTGGGGTCCCCGTGGTTCCAGCACTCCCTCTTTGTTCTCAGACGTGCCAGGGTCTAAGGGGAGAAGGGACAAGTGGGAGGGCAGGGGCGGGTCTGCTTCGGTGGGTGGAGGGCAGAGTCCCTGCGAAAGGGGCAGCGCTGTCAGAGCCAGCCTGTTATCTGTCAGCCTGGCCCTCCCTCGGACCTCTGCTGGGATTGGGCAGCCGAGGACGCCAGCTCCACCTGGTCCCACTCTGGGCTCAGTCCTGCTAGCCACGATACCAATGGCTCATGCATGGGGGGCCTCCCATGCTTGGGGACCCTGGAACACCCGGCTGGCATAGAGCCTGGGGCTTCCCCAGGTCCAGTGAGGAGCTCCTGTGGTGGGGGTGCCCTGCTCCATGGCTTTGTCCTGGTGTGACAGGGGGTGCCAAGTCCTGAGGAGCTGGGACAACAGCCTGTCTGTAGCATGTTCATTGAGTCTGAAGCAGAGGGAGGGAGAGGAGGAGGGGTGCGAACTCCTTGGAACAAGGTGCGCCAGGGTATAATGTCAGAGAGGGGCTCCAGGGGGCACTACAGGAGGGAGACAGGCCCCTTGGGAGGTTTTGGTGTCCCTGCCCCTCTCTGCTGCCGCCAGCTGAAGTGTGGAATGGCCTGGAGTGGGTTCATTCAAGCCTGCAGTGCTCCCCAGGCTGCGTCAGAATGGGTCCCCCATCATAGGACCAGCTTTCCCAGGGCAGGCATGTTCTGTCGCTCTGGGGCCTAGTATGACTGAAAGGGAGGTGGGGTGACCAGTTTACCCTGCAGTGGCCTCTTTGACTGAGCCCTAACGATCTCTCCACCCCTGGCTCTGAGCGCCTGTGTTGTGTATTGAATGGTGTCCTTTAAGATCCAGAAGTCCAGAGTGACACTACCCGCCTCTCCCCAAGATGGATGGTTGTGCAAATGTAAAGTCTGACAGGACCCTGGTGCCATGGCACCTGTGGGGGCAGAAGGTGGGGTGCCATTGTGGGCTGGGTGTGACTGCCTGGATGGGGTGATGTGTATTTTGTGGAGTCCCATGATGCCTGAGGAAGTGTCCATGCAGGGTGAGAAAATGGGCCCAAGAGGTAGGCAGTTGGTGGGGGTGGGCTAGAGTCAGGGTTCTTGTCTTGCTGTCCTGTGCATGGGGCTCTGTAGAAGGATGATGGCAGCCTCCAACCCCCAGCGTGCCTCCCTGTGCTTTCCCACAGATCACCTCTGTTCCTCCACCTGCCCTGGTCCTCATCTAGCCTGGTCTAGCATCCTCACCCAAGAGCCCAGCTCTTCGCCCCTCTTCCAGGAAGCCTCCCTGATTGCTCTGGATCCCTAGTCCTTTAGGCACCCTTGGGAGAGAGCCACAGGGTCCCAGCCTGTTCATTTAGCCCTGTTGTGTACTTCCTGACTGAGCTTCCAGCTGGGCTCTGGGCTTGGTGCTCCTCTTGCTCTTGTGGATCCTTGATCATGTTGGGCAAGACCAATGCCCACCCCTTGGGCTTGCTGCCTGGCCCTTGGGGTGTGCAGACACTGGGAGGCCCCAGCTCAGTGTCACACACAGGCTCTTGAGAAAGGGGAAACCCTCCTTGGGCCAAGGCTGGCAGGGGTTCCTTGGAGGAGGGGACTGGAGGAGTGCTGAAGTGTCAATCAGGCTTTCAGATGCAGGGAGCAGAGAGAGGGGTTGTGAGAGGCAGGGTCATTGCCAAATGTGTTCGAAGTATGCTTAATTCTGACTTTTGCTTATGCACAGAATGTGTGAATGACTATGCTTGAGTGCCGACCACCGTCTGCTCCTGTGTGCTTGGTTTCTTCAGTGGCCTTTCAAAGAGTATGCACTCTGGAGCCAAGGCCAGCCCACCACTGTCTGGCTGTGTAGCTTAGGGATAATAGGAGCTATCTCTAGGGATGGTGGTGACAGCTGAATGTGCCAGTTATGCAGTGGTTAGGACTGTGCTGGGTATACAGTAAGTGCCGAATGAATGCCCACTGCTCACACTTTCTGTGGCTGTTCTCGATCTTATCCTTGCATGTGGCACAGAGACTGGCTAGCTGAGGAAGGAAAGCCAGAGAGGTGGGGTGCTACCTGGTCTCCAGCTCACAACCTTCGGTTCACCTATAACGTCCTCCTCCTGACCCCTGGGGATCTTGCCTGCTCTGGGGCCCAGCAGAGATGCTAACAAAGTAATCCATGTGCTTCATGTTAATCCAATAGCGGTGCTGATATAATGAACAGCGTGAGCCCATGCTGCCCTTGAACTCTCACACTTTGATGCTGATATTTGTCTTCCCATGTACTTCTGCACACCCTGCTCTTGGGCCCTTTTTTGGGGGGGGCACCTAGCTCCTCACATTATGGGTTTAGCATTCTCTTGCCTCTTCAGAAATCATATCTATAGAGAGAGATATATTGCTCAGTCTTAGTTATTTTTGAACTTTATAAAAAGAACAGAATTGTATAACAGATCTGGTCATGTGGCTCAGGGCTGGAGATGTGGCTCAGTGGTAGAGCTCTTGCTGTGCACACTCAAGGCTTGGGTTCCATCCCCAGCACAAGAAGAAGGAAGAGAAGGAGGAGGAGGAAGAGGAGGAGGAGGAGGAGGAAGAGGAGGAAGAGGAGGAGGAATAGGAGGAGAAGGAAAAGGATTCTTGTAGTCTTAAGCCCCATTTTTGTGGTTGCACCTGACCCTGGACACTGTTCATGAATTTTCAAAGGTATCTAGTGCTCTGTGGTTCAGACCTCACCTGACACATCACCCCCTTTGGGGTCACACTCTTTTAAGCTCTCACACTCCATTCTTGTCCCATCCCTGACACAGAATGTGTAGGCATCTTGGGGCCCACAGCTAAGAGCAGAATTTCTGGGCTGCAGGGCACATTCCCATTTGGCTTTCCTAGGAAATGTGCCAAAGTGTTTTCCAAATCAGTCACATGCCAGGGTATGCCTCCCCCAGCTGGAGGTGAGTGTCCCTGTTGTGCTGTGTGCCATGGGTCGTCCTGATGTTTCCTGATTGAATGAGTGTGAAATAGTATTGCATGATGGCTTTGGCTTGTTTCTGGAATTCAGTTTCTGGGGGCATGAAACAGAGGTTTTGATGGGCAGCAGCCAGTGTATTACCTGTTCTTACTAAGTAGCCAGCCCCTAGGAGCATCACACAAACAGATGGGGTGCTGTATACACAAACCCTGAGCTCAGGCATGGGTAGGGGCCATCAGAGAGGAGGGGCACGAGAGGGGGGCAGAGAAAACAGCAAATCTGGGGGCCCTGAGGTGCTGTGTCCAGCCAGGGATGGGTGAGGCTGCCCAGCACAGGAGGTGGAACATCCCGCTTCCTGCTCCGCCCCCTCTACCCTGACACCTGGCCTAGGGCCTGGTGATGGTGAGTGCTTAGCAAGACTGTGGTGACAGTGGATGACGGAACAAATGTGTGCTTGCTCCCCCTCCTCACCACCCTGGGGACCATTGCTGACTGCCACAGCCCCTGTAAGGAGGCTCCTGGGTATCCAAGGGTCCCCAGTCCCAAGGCCCCCATGCCCCTGGCTGCCCAGAGGGGAGCTAATTTGGAGCAGCTCCCTCTGCCAGCCCCCCCAGTCCCCCCCCCCCGCACCTAGGATTGATTCCATGCTGCCTTCCCAGCCCCGGCCTGGGCCCCTGGAGCTGGTTAGAGCCAGGCGCCAGGGCTGGCGGAATAATTATGCCTATTTCATGTGACACCCAAATTGATTGCCGCCAGGGTGACATTACCAGGGCATTGTTCCCGTCTCCAACCTCTTATTACATGTTATTAGGGTGTGTGGTGTGTGTGTGTTTTTCTATTTTTTCCCATTTCAGGGAATTAATCTCTCCCAGCAACTCCTCTGCTTCCCTCTGCAGAGAACCCGCTCTGGCTCTGGTAGGGGGTGGGGCCAGGCCCAGATGCTGCCTCTGCCTGGCCTCGCAGGGCTGCCCATGAGTTCAGGGCACCTGGGTGCAAGATGAAGCACCTCAGAGCTGAGCAGGGCTGCTCAGGTGGAGACCCCACAGAGCCTTCCCATCCTGTCTTTCCTCTGTGATCTTGCTTGTATGCTTCCTGGGACAGGCTGCTCACTCACTATGCAGGCAGGTATTCCAGCTTGAGCCATCCATTGCCTGGTGGTCACTCACACTGAGCTGAGTGGTCTTCCCATAAGACTGTCTCATGGGTGTGCAGCTAAGAGGCCAGAAGCTCATAACCACCTTGCTTCTGAGCTCAGTTTATCAGGTTGAAAGGGTGGGCGTTGGCTAGGGGTTGACTGGTAGTCAGTGGAAGGGCAGGTGTTTGCGCAGC